CGCTGCCTTTCAGTCTCAGGCAGGCTCACGGCCACCTGTACATCTTCATGAACTTACCTCCAGTTTGGGGTTTTAGTTACGTTTTGTGAAAGCTCACTGCTTAACAAGCATGTGCTGCAAAGCTTTGTATTAACTTTATAACTTTTTATGTTCCAGCATTCCTTTACTAAGAACCATGGAAATCAAGAGTCAAGGCATATTTTAAGTCTTCTCAACGGTTTTTGATACTAAGATGTTTTACTACTGTAACTGTAAAACAAGACCAGCTGTGAGTGACACTGTTGGCTTTTGCTGTTCTGTTTTCATCCCTCACGCTCAGTTTCCTGTCATCTGGGATGACACTGTCCTCGCTGTGCTAGGCCAGCCCGGGTCCCCCTGCCCTCCTTCGAGTATTTGCCCATGTTGATACCTGACTCAACCTTTGAACTGTGTCAGTTCAGCCTTCCTGCAGAACATACTAGATACACAAATGTTTCTTTCTTTTTTAAAATGACGTTTGGTTTGTGGGGGTTACTTGTGCCCTTGCATTTTTTGTCCTTGCAATTCTTGGGACTTCTAAGGTTTGGAGAAACAAAACCAGTTAGAGCATGATCCAACATTTTAACAGAGAAAAAAATACTTAAGACATTGAATCTGTTATTAAAATCTGCTTTACAATGTGTGTTTTGCAAGTATTGAGGCTGGAAGAACAGCCATACTGTTATATTTAATACCTGTGCCCTAGACCTTAAAAACAGAACTATAATGTGCTTATATTCTAAACAGAGAATGATGCAATTATATACTGCATTTAGCTGCAAATCAAAGTATTGTTTAATAAAAAATGTTCTTGTAGAGCCAAATCTATTGTGTACATGCAGAACAGAGGAACAAAGTGCTGAGCTATCTCAACTCCTATTCACTTGTAGCAGCTGCTCAATTAAATCAGAGTTTAACATCAGCATTTTGGAGTGCTCATTTCTGAGGGTTACTTGATGTAAACAGTACACTCAAATCCACCTTTCTACTACTTAAATCAGTTCCTGCTCAGGAGATAATGATGCTCAACACTCTTTCCACCACCCCCCCACCCCCCCCCCCCCAATAAAACGTTTTCTCTGAAACAGAACAAGAAATTTTCAGCAGAATTAGCTTTCCCTCCCTCTCTCCCCCCACGACCTGCCAATAGAAATGGGTACGTAATCTGTCTGTTCAAGGAGCAATGAATAAATCAGTCACTGCATGGTCTAAGTACCACTTGATGTTTGGTATATAAACTATTCTGCCTACCAGATCTGTCTTGCCCTAAACACTGTAATTAGTTTTCATTTCATTACAGTGTTTCTGCTGTGGAGGAGCTATAGTTAGTCTTTAGCCAAATTCAGCAAAATTTACCTACATCTTTGCACCAGGCATTAGTTTACACAGGTGGTGCTCTGCACTTTCGAAACTTTGAGCTAGCTTGTCCACCAGAATTATAGCCACATACACACCTCTCTTTTTATACTGATTGCACGTATTTCCTCTGTGGTTTGGAATAGTTCTGTTTTTTTCTTTCTCTTCCAATCCTATGTTATAGAATCATAGAATTGTTTAGGTTGGAAAAAACCTTTAAGATCACTGAGTCCAACCTTTAACCCAGCCCTGCCAAGTCCACCACTATACCATGTCCCAAAGTGCCACATCTACACGTCTTTTAAATACTTCCAGAAATGGTGATTCAACCACTTCCCTGGGCAGCCTGTTCCAGTGCTTGACAACCCTTTTGGGGAAGAATTTTTTCCTAATATCTAATCTGAACCTCCCCTGGCCCCTGAGGCCATATTTATTGTTATAATCCAATGATAGAGGCTACAGATTCAGATTCAGCTAACATTCTGCAGCACTCAAGGTAAATATTTTGATAATTATGAATTAGTTACATTTTAGCTGTCTTCATCTGCTTTGCTCACAGCTAGTCTAACAAGTATAAAATAATCACCTATTACTGCAATACAATTTTCATTAAAATCATTGCCCATACTCAAAAGCATCCATTTAGCAATGTTTTTACTTAGGAAGCACAAATCCTTCAATTGAACTGTCTTAACTGTAAAAACAAGATTTAGGTATCTGTGTTCAGAAAAGATAATAGTACTCTTTAAGATCAGAGACACTCATTGACTACTGATAAAATTTAAAGACATTAAGGTAACACAATTATTTGTATTGTATTGTACAATAAGTACATTGTTATTACATTGTGAAGAATACAGTCAGAGCTATACTACTTCAGTAGGCCTCTTCCACACAAAAATCCAGTAGTACTATTGTGGGCTTTAAGATAACTGTTTCTACTTTGTTGTGCCATGCCTATGATAGCAAAATTTTTGTCAAAGATGTCAGGTATGAAAGGCTTAATCCCATGTTGTTCATAACATCTAATATACTGGGATTTAAGATTATAGGCCACATTTTCCTCTGAAAAGCTTTGCAACATTCCTTAACTTTTTAATGGATAGTAAAGACATAAACACTACATACATAAGCAGTGAGTATCCCTTTTGCCATAGAATGAAACCAAATGTAAATATGTTCTACAATATTTATGATAATTTTTTATACTTATCTTGAACAATATTGATGTGCTCAGTGTCTACAGACAACCAGGATTTCACTGAGGGGTAGGCTAGTGTTTCTGTTTGATCTCTGAATGTGCAACAAGGATCTCTCCTAGGTTTATTTTCTGGCCTGTGATATCAGGTGCAGAAACTAGTATCACTGGTAACACAGAGCTTGTAAGTCAGTCACTTAAAACTGGCCCTCCAAAAGAAGGAGCTGACCTCACCTGCTCTTCATATAATCATGGCATGGTTTGGGTTGGAAGCAACCTTAAAGCTCATCTAGTTGCACCCCTGCTGCCATGGGCAGGGACACCTTCCACTAAAGCAGGTTGCTCAAAGCCCTGTCCAGCCTGACCTCGGACACTGCCAAGGATGGGGCAGCCACAGCTTCTCTGGGAAACCTGTGCCAGTGCCTCACCACTCTCATAGTATTTTTTGTTTTTTCCTAATATCTAATCTGAATCTCCCATCTGTCAGTTTAAAGCAATTAACCCCTTGTCCTACATGCTCTTGTTAAAAGTCCCTCTCCAGATTTCTTGTAGGGCTCCCTGTAGACACTGGAAGCTGCTCTAAGATCTCCCCAGAGCCTTCTCTTCTCCAGGCTGAACCACCCCAACTCTCTCAGCCTTTCTTCATAGGAGAGGAGCTCCAGCCCTCTGAGAATCTTCGTGGCCTCCTCTGGACTCACTCCAACACGCCTGTGTTCTTCTTATGTTGGGGGTTCCAGAGCTTGTGCCTGTTCCTGTGCTACCAGTGTCAGCACAAACATTCATTTAGCAGGTTGGTGAACCTGCAGTAAAGGTCATCCATTTAAAAGTATCGTCTAGTTTAGACAGAACTAATTAAACTTTAGTTTGTAAACACCTGTGGAAGGAAAACATGCAAAGAAACGAGCAGAAGTGGCTGGATGACAGGACAGGAAGGGAGGAAGGTGCAAGCAAGCCTATTTGTATTCAGGGCCAGTGTATGTTAGCTCAAACTGACCGTCCAACTGTGGCACAAATGGAGATGCCTTCCTATTGGTATTACACAGAAATCCACCTTCAGTAGCTGCAGAAATGTCTGACAGAATATATCTGCATTTATGATGCAACACTTAATAACATGTTATGCTAATCTGTTGCTGTAAATAAAAGCACAACCTGGTCTTGTAGCTAGATCCCAAAGTACCAAACCAGAGCAGGGGAGAGCTGCTTGAGCTGCATTCTAAAAGAACTGGTGGTGTAGGGAAGGGAGAACAGGGGTCAGTTGTGGTCAAAAAGAAGAAAAAACACAACAAATTAAGGAAAGAGTATTTCCAAGTCTGACAATTATATATATATATAAGTATTTTAAAGGAGAGGAAAACAAAATCACAGCAAGTGGTGCTGACCTGTCATTTGTTTAGGGACAGATTTGTTGCTTATGAAAACAAGTGCAAATTGCAGCAGCTAATGCAGGCAGAATGCCAGCAGATGCTGTGCAAGCTTCCTTAGGTCTTGGCCAGTTTAATGCCTGGTGTACAGGATGTGGGCTTCTTGCAATTCATCTTGCCAAATTTCCAGCACTACCCCAAACAGCAGAAGTACACCAGGCACTAACACATACCCCTATTTAATTTGGTGAGAAACGAGGTTTGCATATGCTTTCTGAGGTGAGAATCTTGATTTCAGTCATTTGTCAATCAGTGAGTGTTCATTTGTATGTAAGCAACTTATACACAAGTATGTAATTTTGACAGTCTGAACCAAATGCCTCAGTTAAGCTTCCTTACTCATTCTGCAGACACCAGCTCTTCTCAGGTGATGCTAGGAGGATGCTGTATGCCTTTGTTAAGTAGTCTAAATTACCACGTCTGGTCAAGACCTTACCATTTATGTGGTTGCAAAACCCATAATGAGTGGCTAAAATAGGGATTTGAATTAGAACACTTGTAAAAGCCTATCCCCTCCCTCAATTTTTAATGAAACCTATTTTTAATAATGTAAAATAATTCAGGAATTATTCTTCCTAGTGAAAAGAGAAACTTCTAAGACACAGAAAAACAGACTTCAGTCTGTTTTCTGTGCTGTTTTACTGAAAATTAATTACAATGCAGAATGCACATGCAGCCCTTGAAGGAGAGACTAGAACTAAGGCATGCAGAACTCCCACATTCTCAGGCATATTTCCATATGAACCCACCAATTTGTGTGATGAAGTATGGAAGTACACAGTTCTAGAAGTAAAAATGGTGGCACAATGAATCACATTTTTGTGATTCAGAAGGTCCAAACAGTTCCAAAGGGCAATTCAGTGTCACTATGTATTTGGGAGTAGTTGAAAAGAGATAACCAGTAGGCGACACTGAGTAAATGGGCCTGTTTAAAGCAGGTTCTTCAGAGAAAACTGTGGCTTAGGTGTGTCTGTCCATACAGGTTTCACAATACCACATCCTCTTTTCAGATCAGACACTTGGCAAGAAGGAAGCTGTCATCTGCATACTAGCCTCAGAAATGCTAAAGCTGGAATTTCAGACTTCACCGGGTAGGGATGTAATTCTGTTTTCACTAACCTGCTCCATGTAAGATTAGAATGAAATGGAGCCAGCCTCTGGCTTGACCACTGATGCTGTTCACTGTCCAGCAGAAAATGTCACATTGAAGGGACAAGACAAAATAAACATGGGCACCAAGGGAATTTGGAGTCCTTGGTTCTGGGCTGCGAAACTTCAAGTATACCTTGTGTTTTGTATCTGATTATTCGTGAAATAACACTGAAACAGACAGGAAGCCACTACAGCATCCTTTTTAGGGGAGTTGCTTTCTCAGTAGAAAACTGAATCAAATTCCTACTTTATTAATATTTCAAATCTGGCTCAATAAATCTTTCATTTCCTTTTGTAGAAGCTGTAGAAAGGTACCACAATTAGACGTTAGGTTTCTCCAGGCTGAGGAGAACATTTGAACCTTGGGCATCTCAGCTGCCCCTTACAATGCATTTAAGCATTGAAACATGCAGTCCTAAGCAGTGTTCCTTAGGTTTAATTTCATAATATTTGACTACCGTAACATTCACTGTGTTTATTTTTTGTCACATCAAATCTAAAGTTTTAGGAGGACAAGCCACTGCTGTCAAATGTCACTGCAACATCTGACTTGTTTGTGCTTTGTCTGTTCTGATATAGGTTGTGGTTACATAAATGTTTTTGTTTGTTAGATTGATAGCTAACCTAATCCAAGTCAGACTATTTATATTTGGGAGATCCCAACAAATCCTTGTTACCTTTGAGGATAAAGCAATTTTTGCTTTTTTTAGCCAGATTCCAGAACTCTTCATACCCCACTTTAAATTGGAGATTAAATATAGGAATACATACAAATAAAATGTACAATCCAATCTAGGACATTACTGAAACAGGAAAAAAAAAAAGTTAATTCACAAGTGTCCTGTACTGGCACACACAGCATAGTTACAAAAATGCATACTAAGCATATGAAGCTGAATAGAAGTGAGTGAGTGTATTTTACTCCATAAATACACTTAACTGCATCCTGCAGAATAATTTGATCAGATTTCAAAAGCATGCCACAATTTTTTGACACTTGGAGGCATCAAATTTCAGCTGCATATGGTCCGAATTTTCAAATATTCAAACAAATAATAACCTTTGCTGCCTGCAGTTACACATCTTCTCTGAAAAAATGTATCCCAGAGTCACTATCCAACTGTCATTGATGCTATACTTTTCAGAAAGCTGTGTCAGAATTAGCGTTACAAAAATGTGTATTCTAAAGCTAAATCTGTATTTTTTTCCCCCAAAGTATATTTACGGTTAGATGACTAAATGGCACATTCTACAATAACATTATCATGTCAGCATTTGTTAAGCATCAAAGATACCAACACAGAAATTTTCAAATATGGCCTTGAGGATGAAATAATATCATATTGGGACTTTTCTATATTTATGGCAGAACTTTAGTTTCAACTACAATTACATAGCTCTATATATAGACTTCCTTATCAAATAAACATGAAATGACCTCCAGGTCTTCAGTTCATACTTACTTGGTTGGTAGTGGCTTATTATAAACAGAATGTTCTCTTCTGTTCAGGAAATTCTATGAAAATTAATTCGGACCCTAATGGGTATGCATGTGTGCCTGCATATACAGATGCCCATGCAGTTTAAGGATGCTCACTAGGTATAAAACACTACCTGAACAAAATTAATTTTCAGTAGGCACAGATGTCTCCATCTTAATTTCATCATCTTATTGACATTTTGTTCTTTCATCATGTGTTTTGAAACTGGATATGGAAAACACTGACAGTATAAACTGATGACTCTGTAGTATTTACTAGCTAATCCCATCCTCCACAGAGGCATAAATTATGCAAATAATAAATAATTGCTTACAAAAGGTGATCAGAAAATTTATTATTCCTCAGGTATTTGAATCTAAGGCAAACAGTCTTGACTATATACTTGCTTTATAACTGTAACTATTCTTTCCTTAACACTCATTAAATGCTTATCATGTTGTTAATGTACTGTATTCCTGTAAGAAGGTTACTTATACTTGCTCAGAAACAATAGAACTGGATTCCAATTCATAATAGACATTCTTACATTGCCAGACTGGTTCATAATAAAATAGAATGTCCCTCTGGTAGGATAGAGTTGTTAAAATTCAGTTCTGCCATTGTCCTGGGTTCAGCCATTTCTGAATACTAAGCAATCGTATCACAATTGAGATTTCAACTCAAAGCATTGATACAGTTCATTAAAACAAAAAATGACTGGTTTTGATCAGTATCTTGCCACCTCATGACCATGATGTGTGACTTGCGGGTATTCCTCATAGTTATAGCAAGACCCACATACTTTAGAAAGCCTTAGTCCTGTCTTGGGGCTGGGGGGGGAAACTCACATTAATAAACACTTGAAGTGACTCTACATGATCATAAAGGTTCAGTCTGTTCGAAGACATAATCGACTGCTCTCACATGCTCCCATTGTATTCAGTTGGCATCAAATCGTTTTCCAATTCAGGAAACATCATGGCTTTTAGCTACAGGTCATGAGTTTTCATTGCAACCTTTAGACATGAAGATATCCAAGATACAAGGATCCTCTTAATGGATTCAAAGTGATTTTTCTCAGACATCTGGAAAAAGCAGACTTAAGGACAGCTGATGAGCAGCCAAATAATGCCAGTTCTAAGTAGGAATGCCATCTGAAGTACGGTGGTATGTTATAGATAAATGGGTCAAAAATATGATCAGAATTTTATCAGGAGCCAGAATAAAGCTAATGGCAACAGCTGATCCTTCTGGTTCCAGTTCTATTCTTGTGACAAGAATTACCAATTTTCTATTTTATTTACTCCAGTTTAGGCAGTGCATTCTAGGATTAAGGATTAGTTAAAAAAAAAAAGAGCAAATTCTGTTCCATCCTTTGCTACCTGTTTTGTGGTGGTTCTCCTTAAGTAAAGTGTATGAAAGCCTTTTGTACATACCTTTTCCTGAGCCATTTAAATCTGTGCAGGACATTCCTGAAATTTTCTTTTGAATGAAAACCAAGAGGGAGTATGTTGATCTTATTAGAAGTAAGTTCTGCTTTTTCTTTAAATCTTGCTTCTTCAGGAACATCTGGTCCCTGTCTCCTTCCCTCCCCCACTGGTACCACATCAGAAACATGCCTGATTCATTTGCTCCCATAGTATCATGTAGAAAACCTGTGGATGGTTACTCACTCTGTCCTTTTGGAGATAATTACTACAGTTTATCCTAAAAAATCAAATACATCACTTCTAGCTAGCAAAATCATTTGAATGCTGTCCATTACTATATTCTTTCTGAATTAAGAAATTGTATCCTATACACACTAGGTTTAAACCTGAGATTTAGCAGCTTAACTCTCACCTCTGTCTTTGATTACTGTCACAGTTATCCCCAGAAACAATTTGAAGTCTGTTGTCTGTCTTGCATTCAGCTGCATTTAGCTGCAATGCTGTATACACACCATTGAGAACCCATGCACATAACACAGCTTTAAAGACCCTGTTTGCCTTTCTGATTAATTTCCTTCTATGTGTTTAGATGGGCTCTTCTGTAGGCTTCATTTAAAATGCTTAATGGCATTATCTCCCCATCTTCCTCATGTTTCGTCTGAGAATGAAATACTGTGTACACATACTGTATACAAAATCCCAAATACAAGTGATGGGTAATTAATGGTTATCTGTCAAGTTTTTTTACTCCAGTGCTTCAGGATCAAGACTCAGAATTGGTAGGTGATTTGGCTGGCAGTGGTTAAGTGTGAAGCACTAGTGACATGCTTGTCATCAAGGAAACAGGTTGCTATGTTTTATATAAGTCGGAAGCTTACTTCTCCCAAATATTGGTCCTAATGTTAATGAATTATACTAGTTCCAGGTTGGAAATATATAGAACATGCTGGTTTAGCCATAAACCTTAGTCAGGCCAACAAACCTTGGTGAATGGAAAGGTGATGATTAGAATAGAAGGGATAAAAAACCCCTATTATTTAGCTTTGATCTGTTTTCTTACAAAATACAAAGGGAAAAAATCAGATATTTGAATAATGATGGAATTTGCCTCTTAAATTCATACAAATCTGATGTTGCAGTCCTGCACGGGTTATAGCTTATTGCTTAAGGCTACTGAAGTAAGATGTGCTTTCTAGTAGCACAATAACCTAACTGTAGTGTAGTGCAACTGTCTCATTTTTGTTCCAAAAGCTGTAGTGATTGGTCCAGCTAATCAGCTGGGCTGGGTGAACTGATGCAGAAATAAGGTAGTGGTGTTGAGTGCTGAGATGTTGATGCTGTTGCAGGAAACCAGGGCCACATAAGTAAGTCTCACTCTGCATAAAATGCAATTGCTTAATTTTTATTAGTAATCTACCATAATACTTATTGATTATAAAGACTCAGTTCTTCTTAAATATAGAGTATTAAATATGCTGTTGTGGTCTTTCTCATCTGTCTCTTCAAGCACCAAAATTACAGCTGTTAATTTTAAAGTTCAGGAGTGCCAACAGATTCTTAATTGCTGTAATTAAATCTAATCTTTATTAGGAGCCTGAAAGCAATTTGAAAAAAAAAAAACTTTAATGTTTTAGACTTGTTTTATATCCCCCATAACTTTGGGGGTTTTTGCACAGAAAGCTTTGCTGGATTCTGTGGCAGTAAAGGACCTCTGGTGTTACTCAAGACTTCATGAAGGAATTAAATTGTAATAATAGAATTAGAGGACATCTGGATAAGTAAAATAGCAAAGTATCAACAAAACTGTTAAGTCTTCATTTGTAAATCTGTAGTTCTTTGAAGGAGTCAATAAGCGTGTGGATAAGAATAATCAATTTAAGCAGTGTACTTATATTTTCAGATAGCTTTTTCATGTCCCTCACCAAGGAAATGAAGCTGTTGTAGGACGAGAGGACTCATCATTTAATATCCTTTAAAGTACACAAGCAAGAATCAGATTTCATGACAGAGGAAGAATGATTATCAGTG